ATTATTATTAATTTAGGGACCTGGAGCACAGATTCAATTCCTTAGATCAAGAACCCCTCACCACGTATGTACTAATACTACAAATAATAATAATAATAATAATAATAATAATAATAATAATAATAATAATAATAATAATAATAATAATAATAATAATAATAATAATAATAATAATAATAATAATCAGTGGGAGACAACCAACTTGTTAAAAAAAATAGTAATAAGAGTAAGGAGAAACTTCGAAGGGCGCCACCATCAGCAAAACATTGGTAACCACTACTAGTACACTTTTCACCTGTCTAGACTTAAGTAGTCTATTAGTACAGTGGACCCTTGGCTAACGCCTTTAATCTGTTCCAGAGAACTAGGCTTTAACCGGTTTAGCCTTTAACCAAATTAATTTTCCCCATAAGAAATGTAAATAGAATTAATCCGTCCGGACACCCAAAAGTATTAAACAAAATAATTTTTTTACATGAAATACATATTTCTCTACACAGAAAACAATGATACATGCACAATAAAACAATAACAACATCACACTTACCCTTATTGTGGACTTGTTGATGAGTGATGAGACGGTAGGAGGGCAGAGGATGCAGATGTTCTATTGTTTGGAAGGGGAATCCCCTTCCATAAAGTCTTCAGGTAACAAGTCCTTTTCTGGGGTTACCTCCCTTCTTTGTTTCTTAATGCCACTAGGACCAGCTTGAGAGTCACTGGACACCTGCCGTGAAAAATATCTGTCCCGAGAGCTCTGTTTCTCATGTCCCTTTAAGATTTCCCTAAAATGGGCCACAAGAGTGTCACTGTACAAGTTGCTAATACGGCTTGCAACAGCTGTGGCAGGATAATATTCATCCATAAATGCTTGCAACTTTGTAAACATTGTACATATTTCCTTAATCTTTGACGAAGGCAACTTCCTCCATCTCTCTTCCTCCACCTCTGAAGGAAATCCCTGAAATTTGGTCTGTTGCTGCTGCACCTGAAGCTCTTGCAGCTCTATAATGGTTAGCACTTCATCGTCGTCCTCCACCAACGCTACAACATCCTCGCCACTAACCTCCAACCCCATGGACTTCCCCAATGCCACACTAGATCCCACAACCGGCATAGGCTCCTTAGGGTCAGCCCCAAACCCTTCAATTTTCTCCAAGCAGAGTTCCAAGTCCTGCAAGTCACTCCCTCCCAAGCCTTACCTATAAGATTTATGCAACTGAGGATACTGAAGTGATCTTTCCAGAACTCTCTTAGGGTAAATTCAGTGTCTGAGGTCACTTCAAAGTACTTTTGAAACACTGCTTTGGTGTACATTTTTTTGAAATTTGAAATGATCTGTTGGTCCATGGGCTGGAGGAAAGGAATGGTATTAGGAGGCAAAAACTTCACTTTGATGAAGCTCAACTTCTCTGCAATTTGCTCTTGCAAGTTGTGAGGATGAGCAGAAGCATTGCCCATTACCAGGAGGCACTTGAGTGACAATTTGTTTTCCAGGAGGTACTGTTTCACAGTGGGGCCAAACATATCATAGAACCAGTCAATAAACATGTCTCTAGTGACCCATGCCTTACTGTTTGTTCTCCACATCACACACAATTTAGTCTTGACGATACTGTTTTTCTTGAACACTATAGGAGTTTCAGAGTGACACATGAGTAAAGGCTTCAGGCTTCACTTTGCAATCCCCACTAGCATTACTACACAACATTAGAGTTAGCCTGTCTTTCATAGGCTTGTGTCCTGGGAGTGCCTTTTCCTCCTGAGTAATGTAGGCCCTGTTTGGCATTTTCTTCCAAAACAGGCCTGTTGCATCACAATTAAACACTTGTTGGGGTTTTAACTTTTCAGTGTCTATGTACTCCTTAAAGTCCTGCACATATTTTTCAGCTGCTTTTTTATCAGAACTGGCAGCCTCACCATGCCTTATCACACTGTGTATGCCACTACGATTCTTAAATCTCTCAAACCAGCCTTTGCTGGCCTTAAATTCATCAACAGCAGCACTATTTGGCAGCATTTTCTTAATGAGATCCTCATGCAACTGTCCTGCCTTTTCACATATTACTGACTGAGAAATACTATGTCCTGATAATTGTTTCTCGTTTATCAACACCAATAACAGTCTCTCCACATCTTCGAGTATTTGTGATCTCTTGTTTTGTAAGCACACTTGCACTTTTTGCAACAACAGCTTCCTTGACTGCCTTTTTGTTGCACAAGATAGTAGTGATGCTTGAATGGGGTTTGTTGTATAACTTTTCCAACTCCGAGATACGCACTCCACTCTCATACTTTTCTATTATCTCCTTTTTTAATTTGATAGTACACCTCACCCTTTTTACCACAGGGTTGGCACTAGAAGCTTTCTTTGGGTCAATGGAATAATACAAAATATATCGCATGTATGCGTGGAATTGTCCTTACTGGCTTGTAAACAATGGCACACTGGTTGGTACATGGGGTGAGTGGCCAGGCCTGCTCAGGGCGCCCTGCGGACACATTCGGGACGAAAGCTCCTAACCAAGATTTTAGGTGTTATCCGAGCCAATTTTTTACGTCAAAGCAAGGCGTTATCCAATTTTGGCGTTAGCCTATGCAGGCGTTAGCTGATGCAGGCATTAGCTGAGGGTCCACTGTATTAGGTTAAGTCTGCCTGAAATGCCTCAGCATGATAGTGACTTTCTTTGCTCCAATCATATAATGATATGTAATCACATATTGTAACCTTTGCAAAGAAATAAATATTTTATTTATTTATTTACGTATTTAAGAAACCTCCCTCAAGGGGAAGTTCGCATCCTGAAATTTCGTTCGTATCTAGAAGCAAAAAATCGACCAAACAACGGTTCATATCCTGAAAAATTCGCATGGTGGGGCATTCGTAAGCCGAGGTTCCACTGTATATTAAAATGTTATAAATGGTGCAAAGGTGACATTAAAACAATATCAAAGATGGTTGACACAAACCCACTACCATTATAGTATGCTCCTTGCTTAGTGACAAATTAATTTACTTACGCATTAAGTACAAAATAATATGTTCAAATGTACGTACTGCTCGAATATGACCTATATCAAAATACAGTGGACCCCAAGATATCATAGTCATCGGATTTTGTAATATTCGGAAATCGTAACTTTTTTTGTCAAAATATTGGCTCAGTGATCATCACTGAGCTCGGTAATAGTCATTCGTCCCGAAAGCGTCCACATGGCAACAGCGGCCCGGCACTCAGTGTGCCATTGTTTATCAGCCAGTGAGCATGATCCCAAGCGATCATACGATACATTTCGTAATATTCTGTTCTTTTTAGCGCTTGCAACTGCTAAATAAGCCACCAGGGGCCCAAAGAAAGTTCCTAGTGCCAGGCAGCCCTTTGGTAAAGGGCTAAGAGATAGGGGAGAATGTGCCTTCTTCAGTGATTCTGCAATATGTACAATACTAAAGCAGAAAGAGTTGATAAAGACTATAGCACCAGCCAGCAATAAAGTATAGCATTAACAGTGTAGCAAGTAAGTTAAGCGATTAATAGAAAAAGGACAGCACAAAACTGACTCCTCCAATGTTGTTGGGGGTATATAGGGCAACTGACAAGACCCCCTTCTCTGCTGCCACCATCACCACCACCATGTAAGGCTTATCTTTCAGGGGCCCTTATACACCCAACAACAAACAACACCACAACACTCGTCACATACGTAATGACATATTTTATTCATTCTGGTGAATGTATCATGTTTCTATGTTATTAATATTGTTTATTATGTCATATTAGATGAATTGTGCTAGATAAATAAGCCGTATAGTCGATATCAGTGTCATATTGAAGGACTATCTTGTCCTGTCTCCAAACACACTCCCCTGCCGCCGCCACAACTCCTAGCATGCACCAGAAACAGACCTCTCTGGAACATTTTTTTTGAGCAACACGGGTCCAGTGTTTCTCAAGCTGGTCCTAGTGGCATTAAAAAATAAAGAAGGGAAGTAACCCCAGAAAACGACTTGGTACCTTAAGTCTTTATGGAAGGGGATTCCCCTTCCAAACAGTAATTTCTCCATCCTCTCCCCTCCTCCCATCTTCAATACACTAAGAAGAGTCTTTAATAAAGGTAAGTGCCATGTTATTATTGCTTTATTCTTCATGTCTCATTGTTTTCTGTGAAGGTAAATATATATTTCAGGTAAAAAAATTATTTTTTTTTAATACTTTTGGGAGACTGGAACGGATTAATTGGATTTACATTATTTCTTATGGGAAAAATGAATTTGGAAATCGTCAAATTCGGCTTTAGTCACACTCTCTGGAACGAATTAATTACGATAACCGAGGGTCCACTGTAGTGTAAGAATTAGTATTAATCTGCCCGAAGTGCCTAGGCAGGATAGTGGTCATTTTTGTACTTTAAATCTTATAACATGTAAACCATACATTGTAAGCTTTACATGGAAATAAATATTTGTAATTGTGTTTGTATAGGAATGGAACTCCATTGTTAAGTGAGGAGAGGCTGTATTAGGTCATATACAGGTGATCAGATTAATGTCTAGTATCGAAATGCTTCTCCAGGCTTAGGCTGAGGCCTATGACTACAGTAATCTTCAACCTCCAAGAACATGGGTAAATTTTCGAGAAATATTTTGGAAAATAGCAAATTCAATGCTCTAAAATACTGTCATAAAACCATTAATAAGCACCACAGAAAACACCTTAAAGTTATTATATTAAACCTACAAGAAGGTCATAAGTTTGCTTTTTCCATCAATCACTGTATGGGGCAGGTTTTTTATACCATACACACTTGCCACACAGCCCCATTCTCTAAAAGAGCTGAACTCAAACCGTAGATCTATATGAATGATGCTGGTGTCAATAATGTAAATCTACACAAGAGACAGTAAAAGGGTGCTTATTAATACCAGGTGTATTATATTATACAGCATGAAAGAATGTTGAGTAATGAAAGTGGCTGGAATACATAATAACTTATTATCTCACCTGGATGGGTTCATTTCCATCCTGATGCTGGGAGTACATCTCACGTGTCTCAGCATCCATGACAAACCATCGGCCACTTGTTGTGCCAACTATTATAATCTCACCATTGTTGGAGTAGGCAGCAGACTGGGCATGCTCCTGGTTTTTTAAGGAATAATAATTAAACATCTTATACTTTCTCTTTATTAAAGAATAATACCTCTCAGTGTTTTAGAGTCAAACAGGAGTGAGTGGAGGCAAATGGTTTTTGGAACCTGATGAGCTGTTGGGGGTGTAAGAAAGGTAACATTCTGTGAAGGGATTCAGGGAAATCAGTTAGCTGGACTCAAGTCCTGGAGGTGGTAAGTACAATGCCTGCACTCTAAAGGAGAGGTGGGGATGCCTGCTGTTTGGAGGGACATCTGAACTGCCATATCTATACAACCCTGGCAAGACAAAGACAGTGTGATTGATGGTGAAAGTGTTTCTTTTTTGGGTCACCCTGCCTCGGTGGGAGACAGCCAGTATGTAAAAAAAAAATCAAAATTGTAAACTACAGAGTAGGAGACACCTGATACCAATTACTGTACACTACACACTGAAGGCTGCAGTTTCATTATTCATATATAATGCACACAAACAGAAACACACAGTAATGTTTCTAATGTACACAGTATAAGCAATGAATGTCCCACAAAGTACAGAGCTTTTTATTAAATATAATAATAAAAAAATTAAAAATTAAAAATAGGTCTTAGACAGGGATGTGTAATGTCACCATGGTTGTTTAATATATTTATATACGGGGTTGTAAAAGAAGTAAATGGTAGTGTGTTGGGAGAGGGATGTCATTAAATTATGGGGAATCAAATACAAAATGGGAGTTGACACAGTTATCTTTTGCTGATGATACTGTGCTTTTGGGAGAGTCTAAAGAGAAGTTGCAAAGGTTAGTACACAAGTTTGGGAGGGTGTGTAAAGGAAGAAAGTTGAAAGCCAACATAGATCAAAGTAAGGTGATGAGGGTATCAAACAAGTTAGGTAAGGAAAAATTGAATATCACACTGGAGGAAGGAAGTATGGAAGAAGTGAATGTGTTCATATATTTGGGAGTAGACTTGTCAACGGATGGGTTTACGAAGGATGAGGTTAACCATAGACTTGATGAAGAAAAAAAGGTGAGTGGTACATCGAGGTATCTGTGAAGACAAAAGAAAATGTTATCCATGGAAGCAAATAATTGAATATACGAGAGTATAGTGGTACCAACACTCTTATATGGGTATGAAGCATGGGTTGTAAATGCTGCAGCAAGGAGGAGGTTGGAGGCAGTGGAGATGTGTGGTGTAAATATCATGCGAAGTGTGGTGTAAATATCAAGCAGAGAATTTGTAGTGTGGAAATTAGGACATGTGGAGTTACTATAAGTATTAGTCAGAGGGCTGAAGAGGGGTTGTTGAGGTGGTTTGGTCATTTAGAGATGGAGCAAAATAGGATGACTTGGAAGGTATATAAATCTGTAGTGGAGTTGAGGAGGGGTAGGGGTTGTACTAGGAAAGGATGCAGGGAGGGGGTTAATGAGGTTGTGTGTGTAAGGGGCTTGGACATGCAGAAGGCATGTGTGAGCATGTTAGATAGAGTGAATGAGGACAAATGGTTTCTGGGACCTGACGAGCTGTTGGAGTGTGAGCAGTGTAATATTTTGCAAAGGGATTCAGTGAAACGGATTAGCCAGACCTGAGTCCTGGAGGTGGGAAGTACAATGCCTGCACTTTAAAGGAGGGGTTTGGGATATTGGCTGTTTTGAGTGACATGTAAAGTGTCATATCTGAGCGCCTCTGTAAAGACAATGATTATGATCCTGATGATCATACTGTCACTCCCGAATATATACTTTACTATTCTCTTTTATCTTAGGTTTTGTATTTATGGCTTGATGTGAGAGATGTTGTGAATTTCTCAAAAGAAGAGATACTCAAGAATTATAAAATCCCAAATTATTATTATTATTATAAAGATAGTGGTTTTTATGACTTGACATGCTGCTGGAGTGTGAGCAAGGTAACAGTTATGAAGGGATTCAGGGAAACCGGTTAGCGAAACTTGAGTCCTGGAGGTGGGAAGTACAGTGCCTGCACTCTGAAAGAGGAGTGGGGGTATTTGCAGCTTTGAACTGTAGTACGGGCATGCCACTGGCGAGACAGTGATGGAGTGAGTGGTGGTGAGTGTGTTTCTTCTTTTTTGGGTCACCCTACCTCAAGATAAAAGGGCTAATGTGTTAAAAAAAAGTGAAATGTAGTGCTGGAATGATGTCTGCACCTAAAAAATATGTGAACAAGCAGCTAAATGACTGTGAGAGCTCAAAAATATAAGTGAACTTGTTCTTCCCTTCCTTGGATTGAACATGAATGCTTCCCATTTCCCAAGTGCTGTATGACCTTCATGTGTCTATCACTTTACTCTGCTTAAAAATATAAAAAAATAAGGGTTACAAAGAAAGGCTGACAACATTAGACCTACACTCTATGGATAGTTGGAGGCAAAGACAAAAGATAATCACATATTACATTATAAACCTCTACAAAAGAAATGATAATGAAGATTTCCTAACCATCAAAGGGTAGAAGATACCAGAGATATAAGTTAAGAACTGGTGCTGACAGTACACTAGGAAGCTCCTCTCTGAAAACAGTAACAGAACTATGTAATGAGACACCAGAGGAGATAGTAAGTACTTATAGGGAGAACTGAAATTTTGGTCAAAGCTGCACTCTTCAGGCATTGTTCCTTATATACATCTTAGATTCAGTGCCAAATACAGAGGTGATTGGTTGAGGTTTAGCCTACAGCATTTGCAACTGAAGTTTTGGAATATGTCTGTATTACTGAGTAGTGCAGTGCAGTGTTTTATGTACTGTATCTATGTATTCTGCAGTATTTATAAACATTAACTTTCTCTCTTTTCAAATACTCTGATTACTTATACAGTTTACTACTGACATGGCTATAATGTTGACGAGGAAAGCCACAGAACATGCAATGTTTGGCCATGCCAGTGTTTTCCAATGAACAAACTTCCATCCAAAGGCGATATGTTAAGGAACTGCTGGCAATATAAATGTGATAAAGGAAAGATTACTGATGTTTCAGTGATTATCAAGATAGCAGCTAAGGATTGTTCTGAACTATGGGAGGAATCAATTGGAGACAGAAAGACTATTTCTATTCTCAGCCAGAAAACTACTGAGGAAAGATTGAGAAAATTGTACAGTACAGGAATAGAACTTAATAAGAACAAAAATGTTTCCAAAAAAGCTACATTTTAGGAAAAAATGAACGAGTTGTTTGATATATGTAGTAATTGCTTTTGTCCTGCTGCCTCCTGTCAAGATGTAGGGTGCAAAATAAAGGAGTATGACAGATACCACCTGGCCTGTAATTGTGATGTGAAAGTTCATATATGTGAGGTACAGTTCCTCCCTGACCAGAGAGGCGATAGGAAGATGAAAATTAGCTGTGTTGACGTGACAGTAACGAGGATGTGGGATAGAGTGATGGTAAAAGAGGAGCAGGATGCAGCCAGAGCCAGGTAGCAGCTGGAGGAAAGACAGTGAACGGGCAGCTGGAGAAGTTTCTGATTCTGGCGATAATTCAAATGATGCCAGAGATAGCCCTTCTGTCGATACTGATGCTGACTACATCTTGAGTTGTCTGCCTGCCAGCAGCTCACAGCAGAAAAGAACAAGACTCCCCACACTGGCAGCCACATGTGACCGATACTTGATCAGTTATTATGCTGGAGCTGAAAAGAGTCGTCATTATGATTTTAAAGTTCAATGCTCCAATGTGGTTCCACATCAAGCTGCGCCCTTATGTCACACATGGTCCAAAGAACTTCTTCCAGTCACTGCAGTTTATGAGACATCCGAACAGTGAAGAAAAGAAGATAGTAAAGAAGACTGTCCGAAGAAATTCCTACTTTGCTCACACAGATCAGCTGCTTCTTGGTATGTGTACTGATGAAGACATGACAGAGACAAAGCTGTCTCAATGATAAGAAAAACTAGAGAAGAGAATCAGCAGACAAAAGAAAGTACTGAGAGCTCTGATGAAGATGTAGAAGATTCTGCTGATGCTGGTGATGAGGACTTGTTAATCTATACTGATGATAAGGATGCCAGTGAAGATGAAAAGAATGACAATGTGGCTCCTATTGTCATGACACTCAAGAAAAGTAGTGATTCCCAAACTAAAGTGACAAGCAAAGAACTATCATTCCATGACTGACTGGAAGACTGAACTCAAAACTAAGCCTCTTTTCACTGCTTCTCTATCAGAACAACAGGCTCTCAAAATTATTGAGATTCCACTGGAAGTGCCCAAGTGGCCAAACAACACTCAAGCTGTTGAGAAAGGGATAAAATTGATGACTGAAGCTTGCACTGAAGTGACTGGACAGAAGACAAGAGATGGATATATCAGGCAAAGAATATTTTCCAGGAAAGTGATGCCCAAGTTCCACACCATGAAAGACTTCACTTATAACTTGTAATAGTTTAAAATTAAATAACTGATTATTAATATAACCCATGTACATTTGATTATACAATCTTCACAACCAAACATGATATAAACCATGTACCCTTCATTCTTATCCTGACAACCAATAAATTATAACTAATTGCTTTCAATGGTGTATAATTTGACGAAGTCGATTGCAATGATGCAGGGTAAATGAGCATGAAATAGTCTGAAATTTTTCACAGAAGTTTCTTGTGACCATACAAATAATGCCTGAAAAGTGCAGCTTGCATCTCTACACAGCAGTTTTCAATTATACTCAGTCTTCATTTATTCAGACTTCCTAAAATATATTTACTACTCACTATAAGCTAAGAATGTGTGTACTGTATATGCATTTTTTAGGCCTAGCTGTATTATTCACTTAATATATGATAGATGTAAATATGTTATCAGGTTAGACAAATTGGTTATAAATGACCATTATTTTTAAAGGGGTGGACCGGTAAGCCAGCAGAAGGCCTCGGTCAGATGACCAAAGCTCTAAAGGCGGGTCATCATCTGACTAAGACCCACGTCAGGAAACACTTGTCCTGTTTCCTGACAAACCTTACCTAACCTAACCTATGTTATCAGGG